GCTGCCTTGGCTCTGTAGGTACCTTTTCACCAAACGGCTGCTAAGAAATAACATGGTTTGGGTGGCTTATAAATATTCTGTGCCTATCAACGAAGTGCGTAGTCGATGGCGATTGTGAGAGAAATTAAGGGAGCTGAAATGTCGCTTACAATGCTGCTTCCTAGCATATTACTAAACGATCGCGTCCTTAATTATTTAAGTTACAGCAGAGAATATAGATACTAAGGCTGAGTTGCACCATTTCACTTTAACTTTGACAAACGTCAAAAAGCTGTCAAATTCCATACCAAAAGCACCGGTCATTGTTATGATACGGTTAAAGTAAGTTAATGTTCGTTTGAGGAAAAATATAGGATGTTTTCAAAATGTTTCCCAGAAGGTATCTTACAGAAATAAGAGTTGACGTTTCTGACAGTTTGATATGGGACGGTTGTCTAATGATAAAAAAGTCGTTCTATTTATAACTTGTAACTAAACTTCTCCTGTTTTGTTTTATTTATATGAGGGCACATGACATAGATTCTGTTTATACACGTAAAAGGACGAAAATGACTCGTGAAGTCGGAATGTAAAGGAACGAGTTCTTGATAAAGTTTCAAGAGGCGTGTAAGTAAGAAATTTAATTTTGCTTAGTTCAGGGCTATCAAAATGAAAAGCATCACTCTTTCAGAGTGACGTGACACTTGTTGAGTTGGGTAGCTTCGGCTTATCAGACGAAGGCAGGTGTGCTCTTTTATAAGTCCGACTAAGGGAAAAGTTGTAGCGATTCATTGTGATACAGCTGCGAACAAATGAAAGCCTCGTTTCAGAAACTTATATTACTTTTGTGTTTATAAAAATCTTGAGTAGAAGCACATTCTTGGTAATTCAAGTGTTCTTAGAGAGCTGTGCGAGGAGATAGCACGTCTTCAGAATAATAAAGGGAATTATTTCAAGTTGAATGTAATTTTTAAACGTTATTAACGTTCATCTGCTGATGTCTTTGCATTTCTTGCTGATATTAATTTGAAATTTGAGCATTTCGTTCGTTCGTTCGTTTCAGCCAAATGACGTCCACTGTTGGACAAAGGCTTCCCCTAAGGTTTTCCATAATGAACGGTCCTGCGCCTTAATTAAAAACATTTGAGTATTTATTAAAAACATAACATTTTCTTTCCAACCGACTTCGAAAAAGGAGGATGATGTTCTATGTAAGGGATTGTAACGTAATGTTCTTCAGTAAAAATTGGTACTTCTAGTACCAATCATCTCTATAGCAAAGTGATTCTTGCGATGAGAGCTTTTTTATCATAAAATCTTTTTCACAGGACCGCCAAATATTTTTAAACTGGTTTTGATTTATTTTTCATCAATCATCATAAAACTTTAAGGCTCTATTTTGTAAGCTTCTGCCTTATCCTAATGCCCGGCTGATGCTCGCCACAACTCCTATATGAGCGAATCACGTAGCATTACTTTCCAATCACATTTTCTTTTATACTCGCCATTCCAGGGCGGGAGGTGAAATTATGATCAGCCCGGGAACCTCAGGCGCTATTGCAGCTTAGTAGTTAAGTAGTTTCGCAACACAAGCTTTATTCTACACGGGAATTTATCTTTAGGACTTACCTGTTTATAAATAAGATCCATTTTCCTCATCAAACTATTTCTTTTTTGATAAAAAGTTGTAAAAAAATAAGATGGGTAGGGATACTTTCATTAAAACAAACAATGTTGCTGTCCACAAACCAAATTAATGATTGACCCAGAAACGTACCCTAATGGACTGCCACTGTTTAGGTAAAAGTAAATACAATCCTTTGAGCGACATCAAAGCGAACATAATAATTACTTCACAAAAAGAAATAACGATAACGAAGAGAGATAAAATTCGGCAGCGGACATTTATCTATTGAAAGAAACGACCTGAGTCGCCTCAACGAGCTGACGCCCGGAATAGGAGTGAAATTAAGAAACTGAATAGAATTTCACGAGCCCGCAATTGTTATTATAGGCCCCATTCTCGCCGAGCATCGTGTTCGGTTTTGGCGAATTCTATTACACCAACCTTATTGTTTTTGCGACCCTTTTACTAGCTCGTAGAGTGCTATGAAAACATAATAAAAATAAACTACTAAGCCATGTTACTTTATTACTGTCTACATTATTATAGTTCTAGCTTATTATAAATGGAGTTATTATAAATAAAATTTAGTGTGTAGCATGTAAGTCAACACAGAATCCGAATTTATTAAAGTCGTTGTGTACAAAGTAGCGCAACGGAGGTAACGAAAGATTTCGCATTTTGTGAGCAAAGTTATGTGCATTACGAATGTGATTTGGCTCATATTGGAGCTCAACATTTTTGGTCGGTATTTATTATTATACATGACAGAATAATATTACAGCTAAGCATGACATAACGGTATAATAATAGGATGTTGAGAAATTATATCCAACCATCTGACTGAATACAATAATAAATTAAAGTTACAAATATCACACCACACTAATTACCAATCCTGAACTGAGTAGTGTTTGTATAGTTGCTATGAATGAAACATACTAAAATAGATAAATAAGAGTATGAGTTTATTTTCTATATCTCCGGGTATACACGGTTTCATAATACTTACATTAAAGGCTCCCTAGGGCTTTGAATCCTAAGCCACAGATGACGACGACAATTTCAATATTTGCCACAAATATATCTGTCGGTTCGTCAGGGATTCGAACCTCAGATATTGTGGGCGAAATAGGGTATCGTGCAATGAGAATGAGACTTGTGTTCGAACACTTTTAATAATCGTCAAACAGAGTTCAAAATCAGCACTTAGTATTACAATCTAGACTTCGTCGAGCGATAAAATAGGCACTAGGTGAAACGTGGGACAGTTTCGTGACGATGTCTTCTCTTGTCGGCGTCCGGAGCGAAAGTGAGTTCGATCCGTCCCGCCGTGACCGTTACGACTCTGTCGAAGCGCGCCAAAGCGGTGTTGCGCCGATTCGCCGCTAGGTGGCGCACTTGCGTTTCACTTTAGTGTCCGTACTCATGTCCGTCTGCGACATATCTATTTTCTATGTACTGTCTCTTACTTCTCTCGGATAAATGTATTATTATCGGATGAGTCAAATACTGATTTATCCGCTCCGACTTTCAATGCACTATTAATTTAATTATAAAAAACTCAAAACAAAATCGAAACAGCATAGGTTTAGAGTTGAAAATATTAAATGAGGTCGTGTATATTTTTCGTAATTCCTCCGGGATATGTCGGGTTAAGCCCCCGACTCGTTAGAATGGGTGTAATGGGAGAAGTAGGTCAAACGTGTGATTTTATTAACGCCACAGTTTAACTTTCCACTAATCGTTGACAGGTAATTACGTGCGCCGACAGCTTTAATTTTTGCCAAGATATGCGGTGGGAGCATATTTTTATTTTTAGCATTGTTTGTATAAATACGACGTCCCGAAATACTAACAAGCATTATTATTATAGATTATCACGCGGCAGGTGCGAGAGTTTATGAGTGATAGAGATTACGTTTTGTTAATGTTTCGGTATTTCAGTTGGTCTATTGTTGTTTAGAGGGTCCGGTAACAGATATCAATTGAAATAGTCGTTTCATTTGCGTTTATACTCTAAATTATTGGCAAAAGTGGAGCTTAAGACGGTTGTTAAAAGCAATTCATAACCACTTTTAAGCTACATAATATCCAGTTCCGTATAACGACTGGCGTAGACTAATTTTGTAACATTAATCATAGCTGTTTCTACAGCAATGCTTTTAACTTACAAACAGGCTAGGTTTATTATTTATTATTATTAATTTTCGGTTCTCGCCTGCCCGGCCGCGCTGATTCATCGCTACGCGCTCGGCGAACGAAGCAAGCTGCACAACGACGAGTTACTCTTCAACAAACTTCACTCGGCATCAATCACCAATATCAAATATGCCGAAATCTTGCTCTGCGTGTGGAAACGTTATCCAAAATCTGGAATGCATGGAATGTGTAAAATGCAAAAGGCTTTACGACCTGCTCTGCCTTAATCTAACTAAAGAATCCTGGAAAAAAAATACACAAAAACAGAGAGACAGATGGATATGCCCTACTTGCACTAGTTCACAGCCCAAGGGAGACAACACACACACCCCGGTCCGCAACATAGTTGCTAACATCCCCGGAGAGCACGCAGATGGCAGAGATAATGTCAACACACTTTCAAGAGGCTCAAAAAGCGGAAAATCCACAAACCAGGGTTTGGACAGCCCTGTAAATTTAAGTGAAATCTTACTTGAAATCAAGAGGCTCAGAGAAGAAGTAAGTGGGATTCAGGCCCTACGGAGAGAGATCGGCGACTTAAGTGCCCAAGTTCTGTCCATCTCCACTACATTGAACGAGACTCTGTTCGACTACAAAAGAAAGTTGGATGACGCCAATCGCGAGATATCAAGTCTTAAATGTTTAGCGCTACAGNTTTATTATTGATTAGGACTAATGTATACCATTATTTATAATTATGGAGTCGGTGTTGGAAGGTTTGAAGATTTTATAGTTTCCTTGAGCTGTCACTTGACAGCCTGGCACACTTTTACGATGGTGGATCAAAGTATTTTGGTTTGACTATAGAGCGTGAGAACACGCACACAGTCATAATTATTTTAGTGTGAATAAAACTAGCATCGAAATTACCTAAACTTGACATGCCACGCTAGACGTAAACGCTCTTAAGCCGTTGTTCGGCTTTTTTAATATTATTATGACTTTAAATTAAATTGACTTTGTATTTTTTTGTATTTACGTCGACTTTTTATTTTTATTAACATTAATAATGAATTTTAAAAAAATATTTTAACTGTCATTGGTATTTTTATTTCAATGTACTGGAACTTTCATGATGAGGCACACATACTTGTTTTTTTTTTAGTTTTTGTCTGCATCCATAAATTTTTTTTCATGCCAATTTCTTTTTACTTACATTTTGTGTTTTTGAGTTTGCTTTGCTCATTTGTTTTTTTTGCATGTTATTATAGTGAAATGAGAGGAGGTCGCACGCGTGGTGGCGAAAACGCACGAGGCGCACGAGGTGGTGGTAGTGGTGACACAGGACGGCCATCAGTCTTGGAACCGTAATTATCGCCTTTTACTTTGTTTTGTGTGTGTGGTGCACAATAAAGTGTTTTTATTATTGTCTTGATTCACTTAAATGGTCTTAATTAAAATAATTTACAATGTAATGATTAATTTATTATTATTCCAAGCCAAGTGAATGATTTTACTTAAGTCATTGTTATTATTATTTTAGAATAATTTTAATTTATCGGCATTTTTGTTTAATATTGTCATACTCATATAGATAACAAATAGTTGATGCGAATGTTATTTTTTTTTAGGATGAGCAGCCTGGACGTCAGCGAAGTGCCGCAAGGCAGTGGCCAGGAGCGGCCGCTCCACGCTCCCAAGAGACCAAGAATTTTGCGCTCGGCAACAGTGTATGTATTTAAATGAAACCCTTTTTTTATGATTATGTGTTCATTTTAGTATTGACTTAACGTATTTAATTTATGTTTTAGTACCAACATTCGAGAGCATACGGGAGCGTTGAGCACTGCTGACGATGCTGGGCCGCCGTCGGTTCCAATGTAAGTTATTAAATATTATTATTACATACTTTTAAAACTTTGAATATAGGACAACATAAGGTTTATTTTCTGTTCTTATACAATATTCATTTTCAGTGACATTCCAACTGATGTGCCATCATCACTGCCACCACCAGACCCCGCACCCGGACTGGAAGAGCTGGAGGCGTCGTCACCGGCACTGTAAGTATAGTTTTTTTTTAAAACCACACTTATTTTTTTTATTACAATTAACCTAGAAATTAGCACGGCACTAAAGAAATATATTCAAAACTGCCACGCGGTCTCGTGCTAGATGGGCGTCTTAAAGGCCACCTTCTATCAACAGGAGCGCGTGGTAAGTAACTTGCTTCTGAATGTATGTAACTTCCTACTTTTTTATATTTTTTTATATTTTTAAACCGGCAGACAGTGGTGACTGAGTTTGTTGCGGCGCTTCTTCTCAGCACTTGCCAAATGTTTGTCTCGAAGCGCTGGGCAAAAAAAGAATGAGACATGTATAGGCTCCTTAAGAGCATTTGACGATTTGCAAGAACTAATTTAATTAGTCTAAACAAATAAAGATAATTTTGATTTTGATATTTGTCTGTGGTAATAAAATCTATAATTTCTTTAATACAGATATTTGGAATGCGGTGGTAGCGGCGTGTCCACTCCACGTGCTGCGGGGAGTGGGCCGTTGACGCCACGAGGCGATACGAGGCGTAGTTTGTTGGAACGTCCGAACGACCACGAAATAATGGAACATCTGTTCTATGGTAAGTTAATTATACAGTTTTCACCAAATCTAACAGCTCGCCACCTTCCATCTGAGTATAGCTAATTTCGTTGTTTTAATTTTATTAGGAAGTGAGGAAGATTCTTCGGAGGAGGAAGAGGACGGGGACGCTCTGCCGATGCCAATTCCGCGCACGGTACGAGCGTTCCTCGAGGATGAGTTCCGTGGGGAAGAGGGGGCCGCACCAGCGGCCCTTGATTTTTCATGGCCTCCTACGCACTTCACCCCCTCCGTCGAGCCGCCTTCACCCACAGTTCAGATGTTGCCAGCGGTCCCGGTCTTGCAGCCAGCGGTCCCGGAGCCCGCAGTTCCGGAGCCAGAGGTGCCGTCGGCGTCGTTCAATTTGGATAAGTTTGACTTCCAGTGGAGAGCTTTCACTCAACCTCAAATCGCACCTGAGTTGAGGAGGGAAACGTTCTCCGAAATTAATTGTGGACCCACTACTCCGTATGCCACCCCATATGACGCTTTTGTAGCCATTTGGGATCAGCAAATTATGGAGCACATTGTTGTAGAGACAAACCTGTACGCCCAACAGCTAGCGGCGATTATGATTCAGTCAAACACTATGTGTCCTAGCAGTAGGATAACAAAGTGGGTGGACACGACTGTCGACGAACTGTACGTGTATTTCGCCATAACTCTAGTAATGGGGATTGTGGTGAAATCGCGTATTGAGGAGTACTGGAATTGTTCTCGTGACATTTTCTGTACTCCTGAGTTCCCGACAGCGATGAGTTGTGATCGCTTCTTGTTGTTGAGTAGGTGTCTCCACTTCCAAGACAACGCGTTTTGCAATCCTGGTGAGCTAACGAGAGCTCAAGCTAAATTGTTTAAAATTCAGCCTATCGTTGACCATTTAAATATTAAATTCTCCCATTTGTATACATTGGATCGAAATGTGGTACTTGATGAGAGTCTGACGATGTGGAAGGGGTGGTTGGCCATCAACCAATTTATTGAAAATAAAGCAGCAGCAGTCGGAATCAAGAGTTTTGAGCTGTGTGAGTCAAAGACCGGATACTTGTGGCGTTTTGAGGTCTGTTCGGGTCACGAAGAAGCCTTAAATGCTCAAGCGTCCCCAGTCTCTGGGATCATACCCTCAATAGTCTTGAGGCTACTGAAGGGTCTCGAGCACAGAGGCCATACGGTATGGATGGATAATTATTATAATTCTCCTGCACTATCCCGGGAGTTAAAGTGCCGTGGGTTCGACTGCGTGGGGACGCTACGCACGAACCGCCCGTTCGTTCCCACGGAACTGATGCACCTTTCAAAGGGCAACAGGGCTGTCGGTCAGGTGTGTGGCTGTACCTCAGGGGACGTTGATCTCATTGTATGGCGAGATAAGAACAGTGTGGCTCTTACCTCGACATACCATGGGTTAGCTACCGTGAAGTGTGGCGCCACCCTGAAACCGACCGTCATCGCAGATTATAATCTGTGTATGGGGGGCGTTGATCGTAAAGATAAAATGCTGGCGATGTATCCCCTTGAAAGGAAGCGTACTTCCGTGTGGTACAAGAAATTGTTCCGGCGGTTGCTGAATGTGAGCACATTAAATGCCTACATACTATACAAATCCCAGCAATCAACTACTCACCGAAGTTTTCGCAAGACTTTGGTGAAGGAGTTGTTGTCACGGCACTCTCCACAACCCAGGCCTACGCCCACTATTACTCACCATACTGAAACAGTCAGAAACACACAAGGCTTCAAGCACTACCTGAAGCAGTACACTGCGTTGGAGACCTCCAGCCACCGGCGGAACTGCGCGGAGTGTGGCAAGCGCGTCACATCGTACTGCAACGGGTGCGAAAAAGCGCTTTGCGTTTTTTCATGCTTTGAGCCTTACCACACAAAACTGTTCAGAAACACTACACAGTAACACTTTTTTTTTTACAGACATGGTATTTGTGTGCGTATGTTTAGCAACCATCGTAACAGCTTTTTGTTGTAGGTATAATAATTGTCCATATATCGTAGCTGCTTTGTTTTTGATGGCTACATTTTGATCCCTATATTTATTTATTTATGTATAGTATTTATTTATGTATGTAATGTATATTTTACCTTATTTACTTATTATCTTATATTTATTATATAAATAGGAGAATATCGCGTTTTTTTCTTTTTTGTTTTAAGGATTGCAGATCGCGTTGTCTTTTTTTTTTTTGTACCCGACTTCAATATTATGTACGTTTTTTGTATGTATGTACCTACACCGATTGGTGTATGTACTGATTTTTTTGTACACGGGTCAAGATTGGTGATCAGATTTGATTTCTTTTTGTTCGATGGTCCTACCTTGGTTCCTTACAAATTTACAAATTTTATTTACATTGAAAATTATTAATAACTTGAAAAAATCGAACTGCCTAATGCGGCCTTATTATTATTGCGTGCCTTATTTACTTTTACCATTCGTTTACATTTGTTTACTTGGAGATCTAAGATGTAATTTTCAAGATACCTTGTATTACCCTGTGCACATGTTTATTAAAAAATTGAATTGTTTTTTTGGTCTTTAGTGCACTTTTTTTTTGTTTTTAGTGCACATTTGTTTTTCTTTTTTTTTTTTGAAGTCGGTACAAACTGGAAGTCAAACCCTCTTAAGTTAATTGTGTTGCGTATAGATTTTTTTTTTTTGTTTAAGCATTGCTTTTTTGGTGCAATCTCTAAGGAGAATATTTTATTTTGTTTGTTTGAGCATTGATTTTTTGGTACAATATCTAAGGAGAATATTTTATTTTGTTTGTATGAACATTGATTTTCTGGTACAATATCTAAGGAGAATATTTTATTTTGTTTGTCAAGTATAAAGTGTTAACTGTAATTGTTATAAAATCATAATTATCTATGAATATTGTAAAAATTATTATTTATAGTTTGTTCTAGAAGACTACAGCATTTCTTTATTTTTTTAATTTTGTTTAAGATGTTGAATAAACAACATTAAAAACTTAGGTAAAAGCTGATAACAATTTAAAAGAAGAATTTTTTTATGTTTTAATTATTACATTATATTTCTTGTCTGTGATGTTACTATTTCTTTCAATAAATAAAATACATAATAAATTAATGGATTTGTTTTTATTAACCTACTATACATATAACTTGAAAAAATAAAAAAATAAAAAGCCCGGAGAGGTCATGGGTTCGATTCCCGCCTTAGGCAGTTTTTATTTTATTTTATTTTTTATTATTTTTTATGTGATAGGAGGCAAATGAGCAGACGGATCACCTGAATCTGAAGTTTCAGAAGCGACTAGTCGCTAAGAAGTTTTAATATCTACTTTTGCAAATATGCAAAAATGTGCGAATTTTCATGTCAGAAATCGCATTCAAAATATTTTCCCTCTCCGCTCCGCTCCTCTCGGCTCCGCCTTGGTTAAAGTAGATATTTTTAAATGATCGATTCAGATAAATTAATATTGTCTCATGAAAACAAAATCCAATACTAATAATTAATCTTTCAAAATGTTCCAACAATACAGGGTGGAAACGTTAAGTGATCTCACTCGATTATTTCTAAACTATACAACATATCGAAAAACTGGTTACTGATCCTGAAAGTGCTTCACGAGCTCTTTCAAACGGCATCAGTAATAGTTTACAGAATTAACTGGATCTATCCGAAAATTCAATGTTTCCAGCCTCCATACTAAATGTATGCCAGCCACACAATATTAGAGTGTTAAATGTTTTTAAAAAGTAATAAACACTCAAAATGAACTCGTTATGCATTTTTATTTAAAATTATTCATGGAAAACATTGGTTTCAGGCTTTGTTTGCTAAAATATTATCAAGACATGAGTGCCATGACTGTGGCAGTACTAAATGTATGGAAGCTGGAAACATTGAATTTTCGGATAGATATAGTTTATTTTGTAACCTATTATTGGTACCGTTGGATAGAACTCCTAAAGCACTTTCAGGATCAGTAACCATTTTTTGGATATCTCGTATAGTTTAGAAATAATCGAGTGAGATCACTTATCGTTTCCACCCTGTATACTTCTAACATCCCTTTTTAATAAAATAAAATTTCCAGAGACATTAATAATGTGTGTGTGAAAAATAGTCGGAAGCCGTCGGGAGGCGTCATCCATACTATCTTGACTCATTTTGGCCATTTTTGTTTTTTGTCTGTTTTTGGTTTTTGTTAGCATATCTCATGAATTTTCTTAGAAACCTTGCAAGATGCTATGTTCAGATTAAACATAGGTAAATCTATGTACCTAGTTTTGAAAATGTAACTTTTGTTTTTAGATTATCAGTTCTAAACATGCAGAAATCCATGTCTTGTAACTTAGCTTGTAACTACCGGTTTGTAAGCAAAAAAACATACCCTTTTTTGTTTATCTCTCATTCAAACTCCATACATTTGTTTGTCGACTGAGCTCGACAGCTCAGTTTTGATGGTTCTCAGGGTACTGAGTTTTTCTATGAAAGTTTCAAACATGTTTTGTTGAATAAAGTATGAAGAGGGTTGGTTTTTTGTATCAAATCTGTTAAAATGTGTGTTGGGGTCTTTGGTGCAGTATATCAGCTTTATTATAACATTTCTGTTGGAAAAACTAAAGAATTAGGTCAAGAAACTAATACAGAGTATTCGGTAAAAATATCATGGCTTAATTCCTGATAGAACCGAAGATACTAATTGAGTTTTTATAAACAAAGGTTTTTACGTAAAAATACCCCTGTCTGTGGCGTGGAGCAAATGCTCCACACAGACATGGCGTCCGCATAGGGTTGCCAGGGGTTACCTACACCATATCGAATTACAAATGATCGAAAATCAAAATAGCGAACACGTTTCATCGAACGATCAGAATATCGAACGATCAAAATATCGAATGCTCAAAATATCGAACGTTCAGAATATCGAATTTACAAATGATCGAACGATCAAAATATCGAATGATTAAAATATCGAAAGTCGATCTTACGTTGCATAGTAGGTATAATAGAAATATGGAGGTAAGGGTTCCTTGTTGACTATGGTACCCAAAAGTGGAAAATAAAAGAAATGTGTTTAAGAATTATGTTTTATTTACATTAATCGTATGACATTTAATTAAAACCTCTATATTGATTTTTCGATAATAAACGACAATTAATGACACTAATTGCATGTGACATGACCGGCTTTTAGGGTAAAATGTCCGGCCAAATGAAGCACAGAGTCCGGCTTTTGTGTTTTAGGACCTGCCAACCCTGTAGATCCGCAAGATGAGAGGTCAGGTTGTCGATAAAATAAAATACTCAAGATTAAAAAACAAAATTTTCGGGCATTATTTTTTTACGGATTTGTGTTCAGTATCAGTAATATAGTTACCTCTGTAAATATGGCAAGAATGCAAAGTAACACCTCGACAAAATTACAGCTCCCTAGTGCCAATAGTTTCCACATATCGAAACTATAAGGGTTCCTTGTCAGGACTACGGAACCCTAAAAAGGTCGTTTGTACTTGGCCCAGAACCGTAAACGGTTAACAAAATGAAAAACTCCATAAACATAAAAATGACGTCACCGCGTGTGCTGCCATCTGCTGCGGGCGACCGCAAGCGACCGAGACGGAGTGACCTCGGATGCTTGACGCACAGTGAAGATTAGGGCGTTCGCACATTAGATGTGATTATATCCTGCCTGTGTCATTGTCAATACACAATTTTATTAATTTTACCGAGTATTAGCAATAGAAAAATATAATATTATTACACCGAATGAGTTACTTATTTCTGATTTTGTGTCACTTATCACGATTATAAATTAATTAATATGCTAAAAAAATATGTTATTTACTTATTCAAAAGGTTAGTTCTTCTGAGTAAATTAATTTTAGTTTTAGCTTTATTGTATCTGTTTTACGTTACATAACAATAAAAACGAATATCAACTTGGAGCACGTATTGTGGAAACTAGCATAGTTCTTGCTTAACAATAGTAAGTATACTTACACTTAGTTATGAAAATTATCCAACACATCGAGTACTTACCTTATATTTGGCAAAGCTTTTAGTACCATTTAAAAAAACTAAAGAACGAAAAAAAATTTCATACCACAGATAATATACAGTGTGAGTCACGTTAAAGTGTACATATGAATTAAGGTAAAACTAGACCTATTTTTTTCGACAAAAAAGAGGTCAAAAAATTTTGAGATTTTTTTTAAATTTCTTACAATTACTTCATGCAAAGAAAAATTAAAAAAGAAATTTTAAACTAAGAGGTATATCCTGATAAAATTAAAGCAATAATAATGCTAAATAACAGGCAATACTAAAAAAATACATAAAATACCCAGAAAATGCCAACAAATAATAAAAAAATATACTTTTTGAAAAAAATCTACTTAAAAATTCGTATTTTTTTGGTTATTTCATAAATTTCTCCAAAAAATGCCCCTATAACAGGTGGTTTTTATTACTTTTTGAAATTCTTTATCGTATCACTTTTGTAAAACCAAAAATCGCATGACTCTATACCTATCACAACGTTTGCAATGATCGTTTGAACAAAATATTTTTTTATTATTTGTTGGCATTTTCTGGGTATTTTATGTATTTTTTTAGTATCGCCTGTTATTTAGCATTATTACTGTTTTTTATTTTATCAGGATATACCTCTTAGTTTAAAAGTTATTACGTGTTCTTTACGAGAAGTAAATGGAAGAAAAAAAAATTCTATAATTTTTTTTATAAATCTCAAAAATTTTTGACCTCTTTTTTGTCGATAAAAATAGGTCTAGTTTTACATATTTTCATATGTGCACTTTATCGTGACTCACACTGTATACTAGTGTACGAAGGCCCTTATCTACAAATCCGACCCATGCGCGACAGAAGGGAGGGGCCGACCGGTCGCGCGACGCTCAGTCCCGTCGCGCGCGGCAAGATGGCGGCGTCCGACCCGTTCCAAACGTTCTCTCACAACGAGGACAAAGAACTAATAGAGCTCGTGAAGAAAAACCAAATGCTGTACAACACGGAGCTGGTGGATTACAAAGACGGAGCGCTGAAGGACCATGTGTGGGGAGAAATCGCTGCTGCAATGAAAAAATCGAGTAA